AAATGGTCAAATCAAACTTGCCCTCTATTCTTCAATAAACTGCACTATAAAAAAGATAAAATACGACACTGAAGTAAATTAACATTTGAAGCAGGACAAAGGTTTGTTACCAAGGGCTGGAGAGAGAGGGGGAGGAGTCACTACCTACAAGTTATAGTGGCAAAGGCCTAGGCACAGACCACGGCGATGGTTACACGAAGAACGGTTGCTGCTCACTGACAAAGGGCTGCAATGACAAACACGTACGCTTACCACAACATACAAACAACATAAGTAATGCCTGTAACATCAGGGCTTTCAAGTTTACAGTATTTGTCCTAGTGAACAAACCATTCCAAAGCTGGCTTAGTTCAGAATAGACTTAATACAAATCAAACAAACATTAGTTAAGTAGATCTTTGAAAAAAAATCTATTTCCTATTCTTTAAATCTCCCCAGCCTCCCCACCCTGATATATGTACACACTTCATCAGGGAGCTGCTTTGGCGGAATGCTTTTAAGGCCTGTTACTGTGAATACACATAATCCTGTACTACGTTTCTTGGTAAGTACTGGTTCATTCTGTTACGGTCCATATCTAGATGCCTCCCAAAAGCCTCAAACACTCCACGGTGGGGCTTTCAGGGAGTGACTGCTGGACTACATGCATTATGCTTTACCTGCTGTTAGGAAATGGGGTGGTCACCGGAGGGTACAGCTCCCCCGCCCACCCCCTCCTTCCGGCCCACGGCACACGGAGCTGCTGTCCTCCGCCATACCCCTCTGCCAGGCCACCCTGCCTGGCAGCCAGCTGACTGAGGATGAAAGAAACACGAGCCAAAAGCGCTTTTCTTTCCCTACTCTACGGCACTGGTATTCTGCCCCAGCAACAAGGAGAGTAAGACACATTCCAACACAGTTATGAAAAATCAGCTTTCTGGCAAAACTGCCTGGGTTGGGATTCTGGCTCTGTCACTTGCTAGCTATTACTTAAACTCCATAAGCCCTACCTTCTGCATCTTTGAGTCAGAATATCTACTGCAGACGTTGTTCTAGAACCAGTGGAGTTAATACCTGAGATGTGCTTGACCAGTGTGTTCAGAAGTGAGCGCTCACTGCTAAGTATTAGCTGTTACTTCTACTACTACTCAGAAAGAGCACAAGGTTCTTTTCTGGTTCACTAGAAATTGAAAGTAACACGGTTTTTTGGGGAAATTACAGAATATCATGATTAACCATTATTTGTTTTCAAGCTCCTGTTGGTATGGCTACAAAGAACAACATTAAATACTTCTGCACTTCCAGATGTCTCTGCTAACCCTTGCTGTACTCTAATACAAAACTTCCTCTTTCAGCATACAGATCTCTTATTGCCAGAAATACTTTGACCTCTGCGTGTTACTGAAAACGTCCCACACCTGTTTGAAGATGTGGGCTTGGAGGGGGAGGAGGAACACAGTCTTCCCCTCTATGAACTATCTGATAGTTCAGTTTTGGTGACAGTTGTCTGTCACCTCGTTATGACAGTGATGAGCCATGCCTGCAAACCTCCCAGCATGCACAGCTGACCATACGTGAGGGCGTGTCTGAGAATGAATTACAGTAATTACGGTGGGACAAAGATGTAAGGTAGGTCTCTTCCAGGGAAATCTAGACATACAGTCAACCACTATGTTTATGAAAAAAAAAAAAAATTGGTAGCATCTTAAAATATAGGCATAATATATCTCTACTGAATTTGATATATAAAACTTAAACATCACACATAAATTCAATATTAACAAATGAAACATTAAAGTACATTTAAACCAATCCTCTAAAGTTTTTTCTCCCTTTTCAGTACTTTTAAAGAAAGAAAAAACCCCTCAAGATTTCTCTTAAGAAAAATGGAGTGCCTTTGAAGGCAAATATTTAAGAGACTCCCGAGTCACAGCTTGCTTCCACTGCTGCCTGTGATTCTTAGTAATTAAAATTACAAAAACCACAGAACTTGGTGGCTCTGTGGCAAAGGGCCATAGAAAAGACAGCTCTGAGCATCACCATCTGCAGTCAGCTGCAGCCATACTGCCGACTACAGCCAGTGCAAATTATGACGGTACCAACTGTCAGTGGGAAAACTCATCCGTAGGGTTATGGAGACACACAAGCTAACTCAATCAGCTAGCGTATCTAGGGAGGGCCAAGGACATGGAAGACACAAGGACTACCACTGGAGGAAAGTGCACATGAAAATACACAGCCTGCACTCAGACAGCTCCCATTCTAGTCAAAATGAGTAATTTGGATAGTCTCAACTAACAAATACTTGGTTTTAATATGAATTCATATGCCCTCCCAGCAATCACGCCACAGTAAGGTATTATTTAAGTCAGGATTAGAATTCATTTTATTTATTTATTTTTTTTTGTGGTTTTTTTCCGGTACCGGGAACAGAACTCACGACCTTGCGCTTGCCAGGCAGGCGCTTTGCCGCTGAGCTAAATCCCCAGCCCTAGAATTCATTTTAATCAGCACTGCTTCAATTCTGACAGGACAGCAGGGAAACAATAACCCAAGAGTAAGTATCAAAGGAGATCTGGATATGAAGCAGAGACCCCAGAGTTAACAGCAGGCAGATAAACAGACCAAGCAACAGAAACACAATCAGTGCTTCTCTACAGCAGAATGCCATCCAAAAGCCTACATATTATTTGAAGATTTGTTATTCTTATCAACAAAGGTTACATGGCAAAGACGTGAGGTACCTTTATCATTTCTTAAAAAGTGAACTTCCGGATGATGCCGCTGGTTACCAACAATACCCTACAGACCTTCCAAATGCTCGTATGCCAACTACGTGTTCAGTTTTTCATAAATTCACTCCATTTTTTCCTTTAACAAATGACTAGTACTGAACATATAAAAACGCGGGCTGAAGATATACTATATTAGATAGTACACATGAAAATTCTTTCACTCTGTCATTCTGACAACACTCCTCAATCTAGAGGACATTATGCTAAGTGAAGTAAGCCAACAATGGCAAAGAAATACTGTACAATTTCACTTATATGTGAAATCTAAAAATGCCTAACTTGTAGTAGACAGTAGCATGGAGGTTAGGAGACTCAGGTGAGGGTAGAAAATGAAAGACACTGTTCAAGGGTAGAAAGTTTCAGTTAAGACAGGAAAAACAATGTTCTAGACATCAATTTCACAGCATGGAGACTACAGTTAATAACTGTATGTTTTCAAATTGTTAAAAGAACAGATTTTAAATGTTATAGTGACAGACACAATGATTAGTTTAAAAGCTATTATGCAATGTAAACATGTATCAAAACATTATACAGTGGCCATAAACATGTAAAATTATTTGTCAATTAAGAGATTTAAAGAATTTCAAAACACAACATGGGCACGGTGGTGTGTGCCTACAATCCCAGCAATCTGGGAGGCCGAGGCAGGAAAAGCACATGTTCAAACCTAGCCTAGGCAATTTAGTGACTTAGGAAGATCACGTCACAAAACAAAATAAAAAGGGTTGGGATTGAAGCCTAGTTCAAAGATCCTGAGTTCAATCCCAGTACATTAACAATCGATCAGAAAGATTTTATAAAAACATTTTCACATTGCTGTTAGTACCTAGTAAAGTTTAAATAGGATTTTAAAGCAATTCAGCATAAGGACTATTATCCCAAATATTAATAATTTTTATTAAAAGAACAGATTTTAAATGTTAATGTTTCAATTCGTATTTTAAAAGTTTCAAAAGTTAATCATTCTACACTTTAATTTGTTTTTTAGAGGACAGTGGATTTTATTTATGAATCATACTAAGTCTTCATTATGAATCACACAATCTCTTCATAGGTTAAATCTGAGCAAAGGCTCAAGAATCACAGGCCAATCCCAACTCATGGCTTGTGCTCAATTTAACTGCTGAAATAAGAAAATCACTCCGCTTCAGAAATCATGTTGTCTGGCACAAGGACGTCTGACCTGTTCTGATCTTTACCTCCATTCTGAGACAGCAGACTGTCTAAAGCTGGAAATCACTTTCTGCAATATTTTTCTCACCTGTTTTGAGAGTTGAGGTGACAGTGGAAGGAAGTCAAAGGTGATCAGGATGAAGGGCAAAAGTAGCTGACGTTTAGAGACAATTACTTGACTCTGATCACAACAGTATCTTGAAGCAGAAACAGCGCTCTTACAAAGGTAAGTAAGGGATAGACCATGGCTCTCCAGGGTGAACTGATGTTATTTACACAAAGCAAATCCTAATACATGTCTCTCTGCAATTCTCATCAGAAAAAAAAGCTAATGCTTATTATTTATTACTGTCATTCTCCCTAGAAAGAAAGCAATCAATCTTGTTATGTTTATAAAAAGTTAAGGGGAATGTTATAAATATTAAAAGTTCACTGGGAAAAAAGTAAGAAAGGCCACTGGATAAAAAATTAAAAATATAAATAAAAATAAAATTTGGGTATATTTGTAATTTTTTTCTGTTATCACTGACCGAGTTTTTAATCATCAACAACAGCTGAAAATATTTCTTAAAATTTACGACACTTTTCTGTCTTGTTTAAAATACTAGGCCCCTGGCACCCAGCAGCAATCACCTAAACGCAAACCAAACTCAAGTTTTAATTTCTAAGTCTTTTTATAACATACACTTTTTTGGACCTACTCCATTGCTAAAATTATCTTTAAAAGATTTTTTCAAAACAAGTTAATATGTGATTTACAATTCAGTAGGGACTTATATATACAGCATTAGTGGCAACTCTACTTGAGGGATCACAATCATATTTGTAGGACAACTATTTTATCTCCATATTGTTTTCTACTTTATAATTGTCTATGCTGAAACAACAAAATAAACATATTGGTTCAAGTGTAACTGTTGGTGATAAATTAATGTATCTATAGTTTTTAATGCAATAAATCGAGATAATTTTAAACATATATTTTCACTGTTAAACTCAAAATAAGAAACATTCACAGGTCCTTTTCAAAACCCAGTGCCTTTGCCTTACCTGGCGGTGGGATCAGAGGTGGAGCAGTACTGACAGTTGGAGGAGGCGGAAGAAATGGAGGAGGTGGGAGGTGGGTGGGAGGAGCTCCTGGAGGGAAAAATGGAGGCGGTTTGCTAAAATTGTTGTCTACTTCAGTAGCTGATCTTTCAGAAAGGACCTAAAATTAGAGGACAGGCCACCAGAGAGATGAGTAAATGTTGTTTTCTAAGGTTAACCTTATAAAATTAATTTCACTCAGTCTAAGAAATAAAGTCAAAGGCAGTTTAATTCACATACATACACATTTGGGGGGGTAATAGTTCTGTGTATGCTATGGATAGATATAGTAAGATTCCACACTCTCATATACACACTTGAAAAAATGTTCATATTCAAAGCCCAGGAAAAAAACTAGATCATTACCAAGAAAACTTTTAATAATAAGTGATTTAAAAAGTTCCAAACAAACACTTAATAAATATAATGTAGCAACTGTCATAGTTTTTACCACGTTAACAGTTAAATATTCAAGTGAAAGCAATATTATCATTAATCACAGATGCCCTAAGAAATTTAAAAGGCCACATGTCAGACACCCACTGTAGGAAAGCCTGTCTTTGCCAGGTGTAGAGAGACTGTAGACATGTATCCACAGGTAGGAAGTTAATAGGCAGTAAGTCACGTAAATAACTTCTTCATGTGAGCCACTTAACTTCAAGAACAAAGGTTCAGGGGCCAGGCATGGTGGTGTACACTTACGATCCCAGCACTTGGGAGGCCGAGGCAAGAAGATTGCAGTGAGTTTGAGGCCAGCCTGGCTACACAGAAAGCTTACGGCCAGACTTAACTACACAGCAAGCCTCTATCCAAAAAACAAAAAACCAAAACAAAACCAGAAGAAAAAAATACAAAAAAGACAGAACAAGAGTTCCTACTTCAAAAATAAAAGCAGTGTTTGCAAAAAAATGCTGGCCTACGTGAACAGGTAAGGAATGGGCATTCTCAGAAGCACCCCAAACCTACTGAAAAATAACAGCAAACAAAGTGGCACCTAGTGGACTTTTGACAAGCTGCTCGAGGGATTCCAATGCACAGTTTCAGAAATAACAAACTGCCAACATAATGCTAAATATTTAATTTGTATTTCTTGAATTCTTGCTGATTAAAGCATATCACTTAAGCATATAAGCCCCTTTTCATGAACTCTTCCTACACTTAAATACAGTAATTTTTGTAAGATTTATACTCACAACCTATTCTTAAATTAGGGAGCAAAAAAACCTTTTAAGACATCATGGTATTTTAACAGAAGGAAGAAAGTAACAGAGGCTTATCTTCCATCTTAAAGACACTAAAAAAAGAATATTTTATATAATTAATTTACTGGAGATAAGAATCAAAACACTTTGAATATTTTTTAGGGTATTCAGAGAAAGGGAATAAATGAAGAAAAAGGACGGCCAAACCGAACAGCGGGCAGGCTCCGTTACTACAGCTCTAACACTGGGGCCCAATTTACTCGTAACTCACTTCCTTTCGCTCTTGCACTGTGAACACAAAGGAATGCTCCTTCTCCAGGACTGTCACATTCAATAAATTATGGTAAATATAAGAAAGCAATCACGAACAGATTTTTAGATAGTATTTTATTTTATTTATTTTGGTTTTTTTACTTTATAGATAGTATTTTAAAGATTAATATAGAGGGCTGAGGATTTAGCTCAGTGGCACAGCACCTGCCTAGCAAGAGCAAGGTCATGAGTTCGATTCCCGGTACCAAAAATATAAATAAATAAATAAATAAATATTAATACGGAAATACTATCTGCATGAAAAAGGATACATAAAAATATATTCAAGATAGCATCTCGATTTTGCTTAGTTAGTAAAAATGTCTCATAAAATTAAAGGCAACGTTTAGTTGGAGACTTACTGATTTTATCCAAGTTTTTCATCAACGAAACCATACATTAAGTTTATAACAAGTTAAGAGAAAAACCTAAGAAAGATCCAGGAATCAGAGATCTAAATTACATTCGATACAAATCTCAGTTAAAAACACCCGATTTTAAAATACCAAACCTGTATGTTGCTGTTTTCATTTGCCCGTCGTCTTCCTTCTACTCGGCTAATAGTTATAGTTTGTCCGATAACATCAATTGCTCCAGGTAATCTCCTATAACATAAAAATTGAACCAATTCAGTTTTCATCTCATTTGATAGTTGAAAAAGAATTAAAATTTTAAGGGAGAATTAAAAGCTAAAGATCTTTGCCCTGTATTTTAAAATAAAAGCCAAAGAATTTCGTTGAATTAGATCTCACTTCTTTGAATTATGATTTTACGTTTTTATTAATAAGTTAGAACCAACATATTCAGCAATGACTATAACAGTAAATCTTGAGTATCAGTATAGATTTTTGTCTAAGTTACTGTTTTTAAACAGTGTTCACTTGAATTTATTTTCTCAGACCAGAGTCAGACAGCAAACGCCAGACAAATTGAAAATAAAATTTGTTAGTCATTCTTTACAATTGTAACAAATATCATAATTCTATTATACAATCTTTTCAAGATCCCCTAAAAGGCTTTAAAAATGCTCACTTTAACAGATATTTTCTTAGTGATATACTCCAGGGTTAGAAAACATAAAAAGGAAAACCAACTTTTCATCTCTGATAATGTGCCTTTGGATAGAAAAATTCAAATTAAAAAGTCTCCCATATGTTTAGTTTACTTTACAATCCCTTTAAAGTTTAACTACATATATGAGGATATGGAAAAATAGTCTACTCACAAAGCAATGCTGCAAACTTAACAAGAAAATCAAGTCAGTTAAATCTCACAAAATTAAAATAATGCTGCAAGACACTGTGCAGTTAAGGAAGAGCAGTGAGGGTCACGCGCCCAAGAGACAGCACCCGCGGCTGCGGGCACTGAAGCAGAAGGGAAATGGACCTGCAGCCCTTCCTCAACTGCACCCTTAAAGCTTTTTAGAAGTAAAACTATTAAAAATGTATCAGAGACAGGCGTGGTGGCGCATGCGTGTAATCCCAGCACTCAGGAGGCTGAGCCAGGGGGACTGGTGCAAGTTCAAGGCCAGCCTGGGCTACAAAGGGAGTTCCGGGCCAGCCTGAACTACATGGCGAGCCTCTGCCTCAAAAAAAAAAAAAATCCTTCCAGTTAGGAATTTAAAATGACTAATGCTAACAGTTACCACTTGCTGGACACCTAAACTACTCCATTTAAAAATCAGCATTTCCTGTCAGACATGATAAAGGTAAGCTTCAGAGTAATTACTGGCCTGAATAAAATGAAATGGCAAAACTAACTTTTAAACCTTAATCATTCTGATTCAAAGGCTCTAAGATCCCTTTTCTTTGAGAAATGTTTCCCTTCTAGCTAGATAATTCAGCTTTGAGAATCTGAAGATGTTTTTGGAAATGAGTCAATGGAAGTTTATCTGAAGTGAACCTTAAAATGCTTGACAAGTTATTTCATACTCATAAATATGCTCTATTACTAGAACTATATAACAACACTTGAAATGTCTTCAAATCTACAGGCAACTTTTACCACCTCTTGCCAAGTTGCCTTCCTTCTCTGTAATTTTATATTAAACAAACTGCATGTTTTTTAACTTTATGGCTGGATCACTGACTTCCTAGGTTCCCTCATGAGCCCAAAGACCAATCGTGATTTCACGCAATCTATCTCCTCAAATATAACTGGAAAATATTATAACACTGACACTTAAGAAAATCCAAATACCTCCAAGATAAAACAAACTGTCTCGATTTCTACCTAAAACTTAAAATAATGAAAGCTATGTCCACCACCGCTTTCTAAAGCTCATGCCATCAGCCTTCTCAGATGTCACCGTCCTACAGACACAGACACACATTCTGAAGTCAGTGTTCCCCTCATCGCTTACTGCTCCCTAGAGCTCACTGTCGAAAACTCTGCTTCCACTGGACTGCTTCATTTCCTACTGTCTTCTGCTGCGTCTCAGGGTTTGTCCCCTCTCCACTTTTGCATTTATTCCCATCAAGATCAATTCTCCCAAATTTGTCTCATTTGTGATTTAGACTGAAAATTCTCCAAGTTATTAAAGGTTGTAAAAATTAAATCTAGATAATACGCTGTAACTTTTGTCTTTTACCACTGACCTCTAAGGACTTCCAATTTTCAAAAATTCTGGGACACATGGGAATATTCATCCCTTCAAGTTTATTTTAAATATGGTCAGATAAGCACAGTGAAGGTTTTTTTCAGTGTTAAAGGACTCTAAAAACCCAAACGGCAGATGCTGTGGGCTTGTTGTTGTGCTGTAGACAGGACCTGGGGCGTCACGAACACTAGGAACCTCGTTCCACCACCACGCTACACCCCCGCCCCAAACGCTGCTCTAAAAGCACACCGCCGAGAAACCAGCCTTAACGAGAGTGTGTCCCTAGTGGCAAGTTCAGAAAACTGCAATTTCCTGCATTTTTGTAAATCCTCTCTGTCCAGGCATTGTCACTGTACAAACTGATTTACCCTAATCAAATGAAATTTACCATTCTGTTCAAAAATGTTTTATGACACATACATACTATATACAACAAAGAAGCCAAGAGCATGTAATATTTAACATGAATAATTTAAACATCCAAAGGTACTCTGATGCCACAGGACAGAAGACAACACTGGCCTATATTACCCCACGGACGTTTCTGTCCTGCGTCCCACCCTGTGTCGTCACCGCTCTGCACCCAGGAGTCAACCCCAGCACTTCACACGGGCCAGGCTAGAGCCCCAGTCCCAGCCCGCCATGAGCGTGCTTCCCCTCACCTCACCACACAAAAACACGCAGCAGAGCTTCGCCTAAGGTACTGGTAACTCAGAATTTCACGTCGTACAGTTTAACTGCACCCTGCTCAATAAGGTAGACAGCTAGTACTCCAATCACTGCTCTTTCTACAATGGACTCAACCATCCAGTAAGAACCCGAGGTCAAGGGAAGACAGACAAAAAACTTAGTTGCTAATCTTCTGCCATAATTTTATCTATGAGCTACTTGTTTTCAGTACTCGAAGCAAAAGTACCTCATTAATACAAAATCCTTGATGTGCATTGGATAAAAGCAAAGCATTTGCTCTAAAGATTATTTCACCCAGTAACTAGTATTTATTGAGCACTTACTATGCCAAGTAAATGCTATTCTATAAATACATATATAACTCCTCATAACAACCCTGTGTGAAACAATTATTATTATTTCTATTTTACAGATGAGAATCAGGAGGAAAACTTTCCTCTTTTAGTCCACAAGGTGTGATCATGAAATAAAGTGAATGTTTAAGTTTTTAAAAAATTTATTATAATAAAAGACACACTTCCAATACACTTACCCCATCATTCTCGCTACCTTCTAAAGGAGCTCTAGAGGGTCTTTCTCATGTCTTCAATTACACTGTTGTAGCTCCTCAATGACCTTAATCAATTCAAAACATTTTTTTTTTCCCTTCTGTCTTTTTGAAACAGGGTCTCACTATGCAGTTCAGGCTGGTCTTGAGCTCACTTTGTAGCGCAGACTGGTCTTGAACTCACAAGGATCCTCCTGCCTCAGCCTCCTGAGTGCTGAAATTACAGGCGTGCACCACCATATCTGGCTCAAAACATTTATCTATCACGGTCATTTTCATTTTGGGAAAGAACCGGAAGTTGTACAGTGCCAGATCTGGTGACTAAGGTTGACACGGACACACCATAATGTTTTATGGACCTGCCTTTCCTTTGTGTGGCACTCAGCAGCAGAAGTCACTGGATTTTTTTGCCATACCTCATGAAAATACTCACGGAAGGAGACTGCCAGAACTGCTTTAGAAAGTGGCAGGAATGAGGGGATAAATGTGTTAGAAGCGTTCGTGAGGGTGGGCACATTGAGGGGGATTAATGGTAATATGACTTTTCCTGTAATAAATATTATTTAAACATCATTTCTTCATCATTCTTTGTAGTTTAATAAAAGTATGATAAATTATAGTAGCTTTACAACCTTATTCACACAAAACAGTAATATATTTTGCGTAGCAATCCAGAACACACATCGTACATAAAGAACTAAAAAGTTTCACGCAACAATGCTTACTAAACGGCTTACTAAACGGAAAGAGCAAAACATTAATACCAATGTAACTATTAATGTTTAAATGTAACAGTAAAAAAACTAAACAATACAAAACCAAGAATACCAGTTGGAACCACCAAATCTCATAACCCCACCAGGGGACTGCAACCTCACACTGAAAAAGCATTCAAATACAGTTTCCAAAACCACTTCAATAAAAGCAAAAGTGAATTGCACAGAACAGGTTTGCAAATATCTCTCAACACTGTGTGAAGCACGTAAGTCAATAAACACAATTTAACCAAAGGAACCAAAATAATACGGTCTATCTTCCTGAATGTTAAGGCTTGGCCTAAGTGTTTAGTACATTTTTGAGAACAAGACTTTTTTACTAGTACATGTTTTCAGCACATGCATTTTACAATTACTTTGGGGAGTAGGTGCATGTACATAACATACCTTACTTCCTTTTTTTAATCCCCTTACCCATCCCTCCCCTCTAACTAGCACACATGATTTTCTAAGAAGGATCAGGAGGGCCCTGACCTAAATACAAGAGACCACACTCTGCAGTGATCTTTTCAAGGAGTTAGTACTTCAAGGGAAGTTCACAATCACTGTTCTGAAAGAACAGATGAATGACACAGCCTTGTAGAAATCCAGGAATGTTTTCCCACAGTAGCGCTTCCAACAGGGACTGAGCAGCAGACAGTCCAAAGCTCTGTATTCTAGGAAAAAGGGGACGACGGCTATTTCACATTCCCAAGTTCAGATAGATCTAGTTGTCACGATGCCCGTCTGTGTGGAAACTGGCACAGTATCTTTTCAGCTACTGTAGAAAAGAGGTGAGCCGTGAAAGACACAGGATGGATTTAGGATTTAAACACACCAATGGGAAGAAAGGACATTTTAGATGGGGAGAGGAGCACAAATCAAGAGCAAGGATGTTGGGAAAAGTATTACACGTGCGCAAGATTTCTACTAGGCAAACGTATTACCTATCACTCTGCTTGCAACCGAGCAGCACAGTCCGCCTCTGACAGTGATTATCAACCAGACGACTATCGAAGAGGCAGGAGGAGAGGAAAGTCACGCAAAGGACTCTGGGAGGCTGCAAAATGCTACGCAAATATCAATTCCCACTGTAACTGAGTCAACCATTTCACGTCAAAACCCAAGCAGGCCCAGCTAGCGTTTGATTTTAATCTTTATGCCAGAACAGAGTCAAGTCCCTGCCTCAGAGCTTGTCAATCCTGCCTCCCCATCAGAATTATCTGCGGGGACTTGAAGAGCCCTGATGAACAGGGTGCACACCGGACTATTTAAAACAGTATCTGGGGCTGGGGATGTAGCTCAGCGGCACAGCGCCTGCCTGGCAAGCGCGAGGTCGTGAGTTCGATTCCCAGTATTGAAAAAAAAAAAAATTAAAACAGTATCTCTTGGACTTTAGTATCACGTTTTTTAAAAATTTCCCAAATAATCTAGTATGTAGCTGAAGATGGTGTACAACTCTTAAGGGAATGTGCAAGGAAGAAGCTTACATACATTTGGTTCTCCACTAGAAAGCATTTAAAGGTCTAGTGAAAATTAACTCTATTACATACTAAACACAAACTTGTGGCCAACAGAGTCCGGCAGCTGAGGTAAGGACGTAATGATGCCGTATGTTTATACTGATCTTTTATTTTTATAAACTGACATAATCCTATTTCTACATCAGTATATGAATGTTACGTTCACAAGCACAAGAATAATATTCTCTGTAGATCATGCATAATTTATAAAGAAAATTTAGTATGTTCTAATGTTCAGGTTAACATTTATTAATAACAAATTTTACCTAGAAAAATAAAACATACATCTGAAATAAAGATCACAGAATTTAAAGCTTTATCTTTAGGACATATGATTTATTTCACTTTAGCACCACTTTTAAAAAACTGATAAAAACCTGTGATGAAAGCAGAGAACCAACTGGAGCAAACACTTACTGGCTACCTGACCTTATCCTCTGACCCTTGTAACAGTCTTTTCACAAGTTTAGAAGTTACTGAATGTGTAGAGAAATATTGCAAGTAAGGTGTAAATCCACCACGATTACTTTTTACACTCGTGCGAAGAAGTTCTTCTGCATCATAAAGTAACAGCACCAGGATTTAGGCTCTGTATGCTCAACTTCAACCTGAATACATCCTTCCCAAGTCAGTATATTTTTTCTTCCACAAAATTATTTTCTATACCAATCTATACCAACTTTCTGGGGCCAAAAATTGTAAACTGTAAGTTACTTTTTAAGCTCTACTGCTCTATTAAAAAACAAAACAAACAGCCTTGAATGCTTGTATGTGAATAGGCTCAAATGTGGCTCAATGGAGGACACAAATGCAGTCATTAACGCAGTCAAGCTATTCGCTTTTGTACAGATCTTGCAATAAAGCTTTACCCACCATAATTATGCTTTTGCCTACGAAAATCAACCTGCCTGAACTGAACTGAAGTAATTCTAGTCCTGAATTTGCCTCTTAGCTATCTGTGAATCAGATCACAAACTAACATCTCCTTTCCCACTGTAAACCAGGACGAGCCACAAAATAATTTCAGGACGGAACTGAGTTTCCAGATTATCTACTCTATTCCCAGCACTTTAAAAATGCAGTAACAGAGGCAGAGACTTAGGGAACTCTCCTTAATTCACACAAGCAGTTACCGACAAAAGTAGACCTCAAATCCAATCCAATACTTACATCATGTACATTTAAGAAAATTATAGATAAAGATGGCTACTAATTTATTACCAATAGCAGCATTATCAACAGATTTACAATCGAAGTTCTTATTGTCTAGCCCTTTGAGATTCAGTACATATGCTATGTATATTGCTGGCCGGATGAAACATAAATCCATGGGCTAGGTCAAGTTAGTTAGACAGGAATTGTATCATTAGTACAAGTACTAAAACTGTGGATTCCACAGAAATGTTAAGAGTTGAAAAAATTCACACACTCCACTCTATGTTTGCAAGATGTAACTTTTCTTTATTTAAAATAACCCTTGAAATTTCTCTTGGTTCCTCAAGTAGAATTTACATCAAAAATCAAATATGATAGAGATTTTTAAAGTGAATGAGATTAAAATAATAAAATACACAAAATTTCATTCTTTATCCTGCTAAAGCAACACACTGCAACAGTGTTCTGAAAGTACAGATAACATTTTTATCTGAATTAGTTATTGGACTTGTACTCTGGGCATTCTTTTAAAAAAATTACAATATTTTTTACTTTTACCTGAAAACTTACTTTTGAGAATAACTAATTTTATTCTTTACTACCAGGAAATCCTATCAAAGAAAATTGACTAGAAAGTCTCAGAACTCACAGGGACTATATAATTAAGATTCCACAGAAAAAGAAATCTCAGCCGGGCGTAGTGGCGCACTGCTGTAATCCCAGCACCCGGGAGGCTGAGGCAGGCGGATTATTGTGAGTTTGAGAACAGACTGGGCTACAGAGTGAGCTCAAGGTCAGCCTGAACTGCATAGCAAGACCCTGTCTCAAAAAGACAAAAAAAAAAAAAGAAAAAGAAATCTCACGTTGGGAGACCAAGGCAGGAGGAACAGCACAAGTCTGAAATCAGACTGGGTTACAAAGTGAGTTCAAGACCAGCCTATACTACATAGTGAGACCTTGTTACAAAACAAAAAGGAAAAAGAAATCTAAGAAAGTCAAATTTTGGTAATTTTCCCCTTTATTTTGTATAAGGTAATATAAACAAAAGCATCTTATAAATTCATGTATTTAAAAGTTCTTCAAATAATTAAAAATACAAGAACATAAGGTTAATAAGCTAGAGAGGAAGAAAGCCTAAAATCCTAAACAACAAAAACAAAACCAAAATTCCCCCTCATAGGCCAGAAATATTTAGAACCCCTCAGACTAACTGCTGTTGGCAACGCTCTCCACACCCCATCACAGATACTTCTCATTACAACCCTGAGAATGAAGTTACGATTTCCCTTTGGGCCGGCTCAGAAAAACGCCAACACCTACGGCTGCACTCTCCGCAGTTAGAGACTCTAAAACACAAACGGACGCTCCACGGTGGGTAAATCACAAGTCAAAGCGTAAAGCCAGGAGAGCTCGCACATGCCTATAACCCCAACTATCAAGGAGGCTGCAGTACGAGAATGTAACATTTTCAGGCCAACCTGGACAGTTCGGGGAAACTGTCTCAAAAGTGAAGCGGGCTGGGGATGTAAATTAGCGGTACTTGCCGAGGAGTACTCCCTCCCCGCAAAACCCACACTACAGGACAACGGGTAGACTCAATGGAATGGCAGGTTCGTACACTATAGCTAAATAGAAAAGGGGGGACGTTTCAGTGGAGTTAACTTCTACAGGTCCTTAATACTGATTAGATTTTATCATTAAGTAATGAAAACCACCTGGGGATATTTTACCAGGATGTGGTACAAGAAAGAGGAATTAATGTGCAGCACAGGGAAAAGAAAAAGATTTACTGAGCACCAGTTTACATGGGTCAAGGCAATTTATTGTAAAAGGCCAGAAGTATAAGTGGGAAGACACATGCTAGGTCTTCATTAATAAGATAATTAAAAACTGTTACTAATACCCTAAAAAACGTAATTTGGGAGGTAAAAATATGGTACAGTCTAATAAAAATTTGTTCCTGTCCTAATGAGACAAAACAACACCGATGATCTAAACGTCAGGGAGTATCTAATGTTTAAAAAGAGCCTTACCTTAGATCAGGTGATTCGGCCCTCCCATATCGATCCTGCCACTTCCCAACGCTGGAATTGGCTTTTCTGGAGGCAGTACTTGTCTGAGACTGAGAAGAGGTGCTGTTTCTGGCGAGATAAATTTTCTATGTTTTTTCTTACATATTGTTGCCTCTGACCCCCCTTTTTCTGTTTTTGTTTTTGTTTTTAATTCTTGACATGCTTTTTCTAAAGTCCTTTAGCACACCTGTACATCAAGGTACTAAAACGACTAGTGGAATTTAAATATAGGTATGTTATCAACATTTTAGTAACTGGAATATTTTTAGAGAAAAACCAGTACGATGTCAAAATGCATAAATGAGAAAAGAACCAAGGGCTAGACTCAGGTTAAAATACATTATAGAGAAATAAATTTCTGTGCCTCTATGAACTAATAACATTAATTTCTGCAGTTTTATAAAACTGTACTCAAAATATTGCTACTTCTTTCCCTGTATTCTTTAAGATATATGTACTGTTCGTGCAACCAGTTAATAGTTAACACTGATGTGTCTCAAAAAAACCTACACTACATATATTTTATTAAAATTCCACTTCAAATATAACATAACTCTTTCAAAGTAAAATCCCAAGGACACTTAATTTTATCCCCAGGGGCACCCTGCTAACCCTTTAAAAGACCATTAAAATGCTCTTTCAAAGTAACTGGAAAAATGTCCACATATTAACTTATTTATGTAAAAAAGACACAAGGGGAGAATAAACCAGAAATTAAATGAAATGTTACTGACAAGAATGAAAGAAATAGACAACAGCACGACAATCTCTGTGATTTAGGAAACAGAAAATACAGTGACCATCTCTGGACAGTTTGGCCTTTGGAATGATGTTGTATGTTTTATATATGCAAAAGCAATTATAACAGTAACCATGAAAGAAAAGAAATGCCAAAAGATGCTATGAACCAAATTATATTTTAAATAATGCATATTACCACTTTGAAGGAAATTCTTGAACACAATTATTCTGACTACCATCGTTCTAAAGAAAGAAAAATAACCATAAACAGAACTTAAACTTTACTTAATGGATTTGTTTTTTGTAATGTTAAGTGTAGAAGTTCCAAAATCTACTTTGAGTGTATTTGAAGAGCACTCAAATGAGTAATTATACTGAAGTTATCAAGAGTCAGGTTCTCATTATGAGAAAAGGGAGAGGGAAGAATTCTGGGGTATTCAATTGGATGTAAAAGGAATATATCACAATTAAAATTTTTTAAAATTACATATTAAAAAATTTCATATTGAAACTGCTGATTTTCTCCTAGTTTTGAGCGCTGAAATGGCCTGGAAATAAATAATAACAACCCAGTCTAATGAACACAGCTATGACCCTGCTTTTGATTTTTAATTATTTCCCACTCAGAAGAGCCACTTCAAGAAATGGCTTCTTCTTGGGAAGAAGGTTGGAAAGCACAAGGTACGTCTGGAAAATTTTGCTTTGTCAGTTAAGGAATCTTAAAAAAAAAAAAAAAGTGACATGCCAGACGTCATAGGAGCAGTCTGAAGAGGCTTGCCCTGACCAAATTTGGAATGATTGTAGTATCAAAATAAATTATACTTTATATAAATCATACATATGCTTTCCATACATCATAGTGTGTCCTACAATTATATAACAGAATGTACTTGCTCTTAAATCATATTTATAAGCCATACATGCACAACTTTCACACATAAAATACGAACAGATCAATCTAAGGGTCATGTAAGTGGAGGGTGCAGAAACCTCATTTTTAGAGTGGCAAATAATGTTGAGAAATGAAAGACCTAGATAATCACTATTCTGCAATAACTACAATAACTGATTAAATGAAAATCGTCAACGGATGTTAAAATTCTTGGACAGTTTGAAGAAGAATGGACTATTTCCACTCACTTTCCCTACAAAACTACTTATTAAATACAAGGGGGAAAATAGTAGCTCTTTGGTACAGAAAGAAACCCAAAGGACACAAGTAAGTGATTAAAGTTCCCATCACTAATAACGGGAAAAGTGGGTATACATCTTTAAGATTAATGCACAGAGGACACTCATCACTTAAAGATACGGTATCCCAAAAAAGCAAAACTTAAATCTCACACATAGTGAGGCGATAGCAAGCAAATCCAGAGTCAGTGACCCTTTACAAAAACTGGACTATACTCTTAAACGCACTGTCACAAGACACAATGAAAGGCTGGGAAGCTATTCCACATTTAACAAGATACGAGTCAAATGTGATGAGTGATCCGGATTAAACCCTCAATCAAAGAGAAAGGAAGTGCAATAAAGGACACTATTAGGGTAACTGGCAAAGTGTCTGGCTTCCAGACTGTTAAAGTATTAATTCATTATTAGATTTTTCTGACTTTGGTAAGCATGTCCTGTGCTCATACTAAGATTATGTAGCTGAATTTACTTGATCTTAAAATATACCATGGAAGAATTTAGGACTCAAGGGGAATAATACCCATGATTAACATTCAAATGACTCAGGAAAAATTTTTTTCAGAATTATAAAGCAAGTATGACATGTTAAAACCTGGTGACTCTATACATATGAAAGTTCTTCGTGCTTTTTTTTTTAACACAGGGTCTCACTACGGATGCAGGATGGCCTTGAACTTACTTATGTAGCCCAGGCTTGCCGCAAACTCACGGCAATCCTCCCGCCTCAGCTTTCCAAGTACTGGGATTACAAGCATGCACCACCACACCGAACCTTTGTACTTTTCTTTCAACTCTTTGTAAGTATGAATTTTTGTCAAAATAATACAAAAACATAAAAACAAAAATGAAGGGGGGACAACAGGAACTTTTACGGAAAATAGTAATGTTGTTTAATGATTTATGTGCTGGTTTACATGGAGATGTCCTGTTTTTGAAAAGTTATCAAGCTGTCAACTCATAATATGTTGTTTATGTATATACTTCCAAAATGTTAAGTATTATGAAATCTTTTAAAGATTAAGCAAAACATTCTGATACGTTAAATACTAAATATAAGATTTTACTTAAGTATGTCAATTTGCTGGGCAGTCCAGAAAGTCAGAAACTTGGTACTTCTATATACAGTAACCATGCAATCCAAGATTTTAGCAATGGAAATATAGTACTTGAGTCAGTAGTACAGTTCATTGCTCTTAAATATCTGCTCGGAAGTCCCTATTACATTTTGATAATAACATTACTGTCTTTTCTCCAAAGTCAATAAAATCTTACTTCCAAAGATTCTTTCTATCTGTTTTAAGGGAAACAGTTCACAGTGAAGGCACTTCTGAGCAACTGAAGATGAATCAAAGCACAAACTTTCCTAGTGAGTAACGGGCCACGTCCTTTACATGTAGACTACACGTGAGTGTTGGCGTGCTACAGCGTTTCTACAGGCTGCACAGGTAACTATTCATGCTTTTGTTTAGTAGACATGAGCCTAATGTTCCCATCCCTCCTTCACCCACGTCTTACTGTCCCTCACCCGTCTCTACCTTTTCATTTCTCCTTACCCTTCTCTCCTACTTCCATGATCCAACATTATAATCAGCCCCACAAGCACATGCCACCTTCTTGGCGTCCCTGTCCTGTCATATTTATCTGGTGTAACCTCCACCCCTACTAAATGCAATTCTAGTTTTCCTCCATAAATACACAAATACTTGACGAGAGCAAGAAAAACACACCATCAGCAAGTTGCTATGTTTCACTTTATGTCACGGCATTAACCTCAAGAAAAAATGGAAATACATAGTTTCTCTCCCTGCACCATCAACTTTTCACTTTATTAACCCACTGGTTAGCAAATAAGAATGACATAATTTCTCCCATCTTGGGAGAGAAGCCCTTTCTGGATCCCACATTTCCCTCTAGCTACTGCCAAGCAATTCTTGTTTTCCCTCGTTCATTAACATACTCCAAAGAAAGACTACTTTCATGCCTTCTCTCCTCTTGAACCTTCATCACCCCATTTCCTCCATCTTTTCTCTTCCAGGTAAGTCTGCATCTTATTTTTGCTGGGAAGAGCAATCAGAAGAGAACTTCTAGTTGTTTCCAGAACTACAACCATTCGCCTGTCTCCCTGCATGTGGCCCTGTATCTACTCTGCATTCTCTTTTTTTTTGCCTTTTCTTGAGACAGGGTCTCACTCTGCAGTTCAGGCTGGCCTTGAACTCACTTTGTGGCCCAGGTTAGTCTCGAACTCGTAAGGATCCTCCTGCCTCAGCCTCCCGAGTGCTGGGATTACAGGTATGTGCCACCACGCCCGGCCTACCCTGCATTCTCTACTGCTGAGAATTAACTGTTTGCTGTCTGTGCTCCCACATAGGCTTAACCTTTCTCCTCACACATTACACCTTCTGGTCTTATTCAGGACACTGGCCTATGACTGTTCCTTTCCCTATTTGTCCATTAATAATTTCCTGTTTAGTAAATAACCTGTGAAGTCTACAAAATACTGCAATTTCTTTTATTTTAAATAATCTTCTTATGAACCCATACTTCCCTCTGGATACCAGTTCCTAGTCCCCCCAAAAGACTGTCTTTTTAAAAAAAGTATCTTTTTCCTAAATTATTTCCTCTCATGCCCTTTGAACCCAATCCAATGGCTCTATCTATACTTTGTACACTGAAAATGATCCTAGTCAGCATCACCAGTGACCATCACATTGGAAAATCCAATAGCTCTTCTCACTCTTCATCTTTTTAACCAATTATTAATGTTTAATATTAACAGTTGAGCATTCCTTCTTAAAACACATTCAATATATACACCAGGGTTTTCTTCCTACTTCACTAGTCTTTCTTATTGGTCTCGTCTTACAGATCTATTTTTCTGGTGTACAAAGAAGTACCCTATCATTTCTGCACCAATACTTATCTTTTATAGCTAATTCCATTCCACAGCTGCATTTCAATACAACTGATACAGTCACCATCACAAATCTGTATCCTAGCTGATTCTCTTCCCCTCTACTCCAGATCCACATACCCAACTTCCCAGTCAGGTTTTCCGTTTGTATGCTAAACAGTCATTTCAATTTTACTGTAGTAAACTGAACTCTTGGTCTTCCTCCTCCAAAAGCCACGCCTCCTGTTATCTTTTCCATCTCAGCAATGATAACTCCCTCATTCAAACTGAGTTGAGGACAAAATCCTTGGATTCACCCTTGACATCTTTCTCTTTAAAATCTACACCAGATCCATCAAGACAGGTTTTTTGTTGTTGTTTGTCTGTTTGTTTTTTTTGAAATACAGTCTCACTATGTAATTCAGGCTGGCCTTGACTCACTAGGTAGTGCAGGCTGGCCTAACTCACAGTGATCCTCCTGCCTCAGCCTCCCCGAGGCTGAAATTACAGGCATACTCCATCTTGTGGGGTTCACAGTAAGTTATTGGCTACCGTTTGAAATACATCAATAGTACCTGACAACGTAACCATCTTCACCACTACCATCTTGACCCAGGTCACCATTATCTCCTGCCTAGGAACTGCTACAAGTTTCCAACAGTCCCTGTTTCCACCCTTAGTCACGCTAGAGGCTATTCTTAGTAAAGCTCCTAAACTGAGTTTTTAAAACCCAACCCAAGTAACAATAACAAAATACAAAAAGCAGAGCACAGAAAACTGAAGCTGTTTTTAAATAGTTTAATTATACAGCAAACTTCTAGCGTATTTTCAATCACCAGTTATAAAATACTTTATGCAAATTAAGTCATTTAAAACATATAACTACAGTGGCAGAGAAGCACTATTGCTACATTTTACAGATTAGAAAAACCTGATTTAACAAGATTAAGAAATATGCCCAAGGACACACAACTAGTAAACTGCAAAGCCAGATTTTGAATCTCAAAAGTCTAATTCCAGTTCCAAGCTCTCAATATCATGCTATACTGCAGAATACTATAAATTCAATGAATCAAAATTGACTTTAAAAAAAAAAAGCAAAAGCCAAAATACTATATTACTTACTATTAGTATACTACTTAGTATACTATTACTATACTAAATACTATTAAAAGTATCAATATCCTTAGCTATAATAAATTCTTCAAACACCTTATGAGACTTATTTAAACAATTAATATATGTCTATGATATTCCACAAAAATCTTGAATTGCTTTCTGACATTTAATTTTGCCTGAAAGTTCCAAAAATTTTCATATTAGGGTTAAACAACATATTCCCGTAAGGTCTTTTCCTGCAGTAGTGTATTATAAAGCATAATCTCTTACAGCAATAAAAAAATTATAGAAAAATGAAAACAGAAAATTATATAAATAAAGAAGCAACATGACAGGTAAACGATGTGGCTGAGAAATAATAACAGCTGGGTTGATTTGTTTCAGGCTCAGATTTAAGTCACCTTTATCTAACTCAGGAATAAACTGCCTGACATTCTGAAACTTCTCTCATCTTAGTCTGTCATTTGCCATTTTCCTTGTAGTAGGGCAGAAAGGTAACTATTCGTCACGTTTGAGAAAAAGGGTATTTTGCAGCATATATATTCCTTTTAAATCTAATCTTTGTGGACACAAAGCTAAGTGTTATCATTTAAAACCAAACAGATAAAAGAAAGTGGTTTTAATATACAAAGTTTTTCCAGGATGAAATTTCTACTATCTTTTACTAAAATCAACAAAACACCTTTAAACCCAATAGCTCTGGAGTTAGGAAGTCTGATAACTCTGTAAGAGTAACACACACAGGCAATAGAAAGATGCTTGCTAGCACCTCTCCTGAAAACAAGATCACTGTCTCTCACACGCACAGAACTATACACTGTACTTCACTTCTTGCTTACCCAGATTTTTCTTTAAGACAGAATACCGCCCTAAAATGTTTTTCGCAAAGAATTCATTTTGTATAAAAGTGGAAAGTTTCAGTTTTTGTTAGTAAATGCTGAGAGGTTTTATAAAAACATAAAGATAACAATTCATAGAATAACTGAGTTACAACAGTCTAACTAACCTGCTTGGTGGAAGTCCAGTTTTGAACAAGGATGGAGGAGAAGTAAACTCAGCTTTTGTGGAAGGAAGTGCTGCTTCTTTCTCTGAATTTCCAGTTCTCCCCTGTTGTACCTAAAAAAAAAAAAAACCACAAAAAAAAACCCACAGAAAAAACCTGTATTATTAGCTTTTTAAATTTAATAGCACACTCAAAGTGCACTTTAGATATTAGATCTGAAACATTTGATTTAAAGTTAAACACAAACACTGTTTCATGGCTGAATAATTATTAACAGTAACCTATGTTAGAGGAGCACTAAGTAAAAGGCACCCAAGATGGACTATGGGATCGCAGTGTTTGAACTACTAAATGGACACTTTTCTGCAGCCAGGCACGGTGGCGTGGTGGCACAGGCACGTAATCCCAGCACTTGGGAGGCTAGGGAAGGGGAACTGTGAGTTCAAGACCCGTCGGGACTACACAGCAAGATCCTGTCTCAAAAGCTCAAAACAGTAATTAAAAAAAAAAATAGTTTAGCTTTTGCCACTTAAAAGCCCTAAGTCTTTGGGCCTTTTATAAATTCCCCCAGATGGACAGAAGTCAGTCTGAGACACCTGGTTATGATGCCACATTTCAGAGTTCAAGAAAGGTCCTGAAGGAACTTCCTTCTCTACTCACTACCCTTACCCAGGCAAACACTCAACGACCATTTTAGCCATTCCACTTTCTATTTAGACTTGGTGCAGCACTAACGCAACTAATCTGCTCCTATACATTCGTGTAATTTCTCCCATACTCCCAGCAGCACCGCCATGCTGCCAGCCCACCCAGAGGCATGGGGTCTGTCATCCGTCTTTCTCCTTTTCCTTCTTTACATTAACTTCTGAACCAGGCGGCCCAGCGCCTCTGCTTCTATCATACTCTCCCAGTGTAGTCTAGTCATGCTCCTCTAGTCTGGTGTTTATGCTTATCTATCTTAAAATCATCAGATTATTAAATCTGAACAAAATTGCCCTGTACTTACATAACATCACACTTTATTTTAAACCCTATTTAAATTTTACTGTCTCTATTTTATTTAAATTCAACATCACTCTCCTTCCCCATGAGATAAAGGCCAAGAGAATCTCAGATACTTTGATGAATCACTGAGTTGATTCCAGAAATCATCTCCCTCCCCACTGATCATTCTGTGAGGGGAAAATAATTTTTTTTGGTTTATTTAAGCATCTATATCCTGATTTCTTATTAACTGGAATCCAACCCAATCTCTAACTGATACTAGGGTTTAGCACTGAGTTTATTTGAAAAGGATGAGTTTCACTGGTTTTTTAAAGTCCATTTAAAATGTAGAGAAGCTAACAAGAGAAGAGGATTAGCACTAAGGCAATGGAGACAGACCATGGTGACTGAAAACAGACAGTCCACAATAACACTAAAAGAGAAATCTGGTGACAGGGAAGTAAACCTAATTCAGTTCCCAAACATTTATTAACTATCTCCTACTTACCACATTCTGAGGCTACAGTCAGAAATACACAAATCTCAGTGAAAACCTGAAATACGAGACCAACAGCTGGGAGTTGTGGCACATGCCTGTATTCCAGCACAGGACTCTGGAGGTCAAGGCAGGAGGACCGCTACAAGTCTGAAGCCACCTAGGCTACACAGTACAGTAAGTTCAGCACCAGCCTAAACTACACAGTGAAACCTTGTCTCAAACAAAAAGTATATATATGAAAAAAAATATTAGATGTAAGGTACATTACTGCCACAGCTATAGACATCCACTAGGGATACTGGAATGTATTCTCTGCAGATATGTGAAGACTATTATATCATTTAAACTACCAGCCTCGGAGGGGCTTTCCCTCACTATTCCCATTCTTATCATGTTATTACTTTCAAAATTTTCTTCATAGGCTTTATCACTAATATTATTATCTGAAATTGCTTCATTTTGTATGACTACTGTCTGGTGCCACTATAATGGAGAATCACTGAAGACATGAACTATGCATACTAAAAAGCTGTATCCTAAGTGTCCAGAAAAAGTATGTGGCATGCAATAAATAACAAATGTTTGTTATTTGATTAACTGTGGGACTCACCTTAAATGTCACTTCTTCAAAGTCCTTCAAGGGACATGTTTATATAATTTTGCAAGATTACTTAGTTACTATGCATCTTCCCCACTAAGACAGATAAACTGCAAAACTATGGGGTTCATGTCTAATACGTGCATCTTACCTCCCCACCCAAGTGTAATGTCCTTTCTGGCATTGTAAATGCTCAATTAAAACAGGGACAGAGAAAAGGAAAAGTTTGGGAAGGTGAAGTGGGAGAGAACTTAAAAGGGGAAGATGGAAGAATAGATACCAAAAAATAACATCTACAGGAGGAGGAAAGGAGAAGATAGGAAGATGGCAGATTCTTAAACATATAAAACTTGCGTGCACTTCCTTTTTTCCTGTCCTTAGTTTGTTCATAATATACTCACAGCAGAAAAAAAAAAAAAAAAAAAAAAAAATATACTCACAGAACAATGCTGAAAATTCTTACCATTTTAGCAACCTTCCCAGTCAACCGGAATTATCATTAACTACTCGTTTTTCTTAAGACTTTGCATTCAATACAAGTCTCAAAACTTGTACATAATGAGACTTATTATTTCCTATAACCTAATATTAAAAAAAGGACTGTAAGACATTATTTTCCTAAAAAATAAAAATGTCTTACAAATCCAAACAAAACTAAAATCTATAACCTCAAGAAATTATTCAACTAACTGTATCAAAAGTTTTGAAATTATTTCTTTGAAACTTCTTCAGCTGCCCAGCATAGCATCACCTACAACAGTGTAAACATTCTGACCAACATCTAAAAAGGAAGAATCTCCTTAAGTTGTTGTATACCCAAATAAAAGCTTATGGTACTCTTTAAAATTATATTTATCAAAAAAGTTTAACAATCTAGGAAAACATTTAGCAAAAGATGTTAGGGATGAAAAATGGAAAAGCAGAAACCATAAATGAGTTAACACAACTGTGTTTCAACCAGTAATTGAAAAAAACTGAAAGAGCAACAACATTTAGGACTCAAAGCAGATGAAAAAAACAGTAGGTGAATGAGCAAACTAAATAAAGCTGAATCCTGCCAGCAATGAAAAAGCAAAGGCATATTCATTACCATGAGGGAACCCCAAAAGTTTCAGGAACTGACAACTCCAGCTCTCAAAACACTTGAATCAGCCAGCCATATACTTTCTGGGCAGGCTACTGGAATACTAGAATATCTTCCCCGAAAAAATCATTATTGTCACAAAAAAGAGAACAATAAAAGCAAAACAACCTAAGGATATTAACGTGTAAAAAGCTTCTTGCTACCGCGAAGCCTACAATCAACAAATTCTATTCATACACACAGATCTTCCATTCAACTTTTTGGTAGTCCACTCTGAGAAAAAGTCCAAGTAAAAAGCCAAAAACAGTAAAACTCAAAAAATCAGCCTGAAGAAAACAGATTGTACAAGAAAGGAAAACCTAACAGAAACAACCTATAATTAACATCCTTTGAGAGATATGGAGGAAGAAAAGATACTGACTACTGTAAAAAGACAGGGTACCACAATGAAATAACAAAAACTTTCTTGGGTATTAAAAATATAATAGCAAAAATGAAAACTGAGGAGAAAGGTTAAAAGGCTAAAGAAATCCCTCAGGAGATAAATAACATCTCTAAAAGAAAGCAACAGAAAAAGCAAAACGAGAAAACAGCATCCCTAAAGTGAAGCATACGTACTTCCAAATTAAAGAGAGTCAGTGCTTCATTTAATGGATGAAAACAAATCAAGAAATGTGGTAACATCGGTTCCCGGTACCGGAGAAAAACCAAAAAAAAAAAAAGAAATGTGGTAACTGTGAAATTTCAGAACACAGGCAACAAAATTCACACTATATGCTTCTATAGAGAAAAAAATGCCTATGTACACACGTGTGCATAAATGAATAGAAAGTTTTTTTAAGAGAATGTTGTGGTTGCCGGGCATGGTGGCGCACGCCTGTAACCCCAGCACTCAGGAGGCTGAGGCAGAAGGATCTCTGTGAATTCTAGGCTAGCCTGGGCTACAAAGTGAGCTCAAGGCCAGCCTGAACTGCACAGCAAGACCCTGTCTCAAAAAAAAAAAAAAGAAACAAAATGCTGTGGCAAATTGTTCTTATCCACGTTACCCATTTCTAATAGCCACTTCTTTCCTGCCCCTTATCCCAAACGATATAATTACACAACTGTTTTTCTACCTAATTAAGAAACTATTTTTAGATGTATAAAATGTCACATCATTTTGCTTCAAAACAAAAAAAAACCTAGCTGAGCATGGTGAACCGTGCCTACTATCCAAACTGTGCTCAGGGAAGAGGCTCGCAAGCTCAAAGGCTGGCATGGGTCATCAGCAAGACCCTAACCCAAACTAACAAAATAATAAAAGGGTAGGAACAGAGTTCAATGGTACAGTACTTGCTTAGGTGTGTGAGGCCATGGGCCACATCACCAGTAACTCAAAAAATAAAAACAAAACTTACTCACATTGAAGTATTTCACCTTAGGAATATGAGTACGTTAATAACCCCTGAAGCTGTACGATAAAAACCTAGAGGTTCCTTGGTACTATTCTCATCACTTATTACCATGTTAGAATATTTACGTAATGAAAGGCAGAAAAAAGAGGTTGACAGGTTGTCTCACATGAAATCACAGCTCACCACTGAGCTCGGGCCCTAGTTTGTCTCGGTCCCTCTAACAGCACAAAGCCGCCCTCGCCAGCCTCTCCTGCATTCTACTATCCATCCCGCTGCTACTTCTTTTTCTAAAACACAGATCTATAAACTCTCTACTCCTAAAAACATTTCCTGCTGCCCACATAAATGTTTGCTGGCTAGTGTTTCTCATCATGGCTCTGTTTCCTACAAACCATGACAGACATAACAAAAAAAAGTTTGTCACACACATTATTAAATATATACCTTATTCCCAAATCAGTATTTCTAACAGACATTATTAGTATTTAAGCACATTATGAAGGAAATCAAGTCCTTATTCAGAATCAAGTTCATAAGACTGGAACAGTCAAAAACCTCTCAAATAATCAAGACATTTCAAAATAAACTTTCAACATATATAGAAAATACATATACAAAATATATTCATGGTTACCTTGGATGATAGACCAGCCCAAAGGAATTTCTCTTTACTGTTTGTAGTCTACTCTAAAACATACACTATAGTCTAAAGGAGTTGACAGTTTATAATGGCAGTTCTAATTTCTATATTAAAAAAGCCAATGCCACTGCAAACAAATTAATTTAAGACAACTTGTCTATTCACTATAATCAAGAATAAAAAAATATTCAATGCCTAACCAGACAGTATCACCCAAAGAACCTGAGAACCATTTATAATAGGGCAGACAGCATCAAAATATTTACAGCAGGACAAGAACCAAATACTCACAGGAGAAATGCAAATTAACATTAAATTCTCCACACAGAGTTCTGTCCAGCAGAGCGCTGTATCTGTGGATACAGCACACGTACTGCATGAGACATTACTTCAGGGAACAGGGATAACGCCCCCCAATGGGCCCAGAGGTCCACATCCAGATCACAGAAGTTCCCCCGGCAAGTGACACAATCTAAAGGCTCTGCCCAGCGTTATTCAAGGTGAGAATCAAATACCGAGAGAAAGAAAGCAGAGCACCCAGCCAAGTTCCAAGAAAACAGGTACGAAAGTAATTACTGCTGGCTGGCTCTGTGGTCATACCCTGGCAGGGGGAGGCCTGAAGTCAGACCTGACGCCCAAGTGGTTGGTGGTACCAGCCTTCACTCCCTCACACAAACTTGCTCTTTCTAAATATCAGTTTTAAAAAGCAAGGGCTTTATCTCATTTTTTGAGTTCTCAGGGACTCTCAGAGAATGTATAAAATTCTAGAAAATATCTTGAATTACAAGAGAAATCATACCAATGATGTCAGTGTCATATAGATGACAAACATATCACAATCCTATTTGTTCAAAGATAATTAGGAAAAATAAACCTCTAATTGTGCTGATAAAGGTTAGAATACAATCCAAAATGAGGGCTCCATCTGTTGTCGTGGACTTTTATATTCTAGAAGCAAACATGTAGTAGACACAAAATATAATCTCAACATGTAGCAAAGAACAGCTTTACTTGGCATTTGTTAGTATGATAGGCTATAAAAACACATGCTTGCAGAAGTGGAGATAAAAAACAATCAGCAAATTTGTAAGTCACCAGGAAGCTGAAGGTTGAGAAGAAAGAGCTATTTTCATTTTAAATTTGTCCCTTCAATAGTGGTATGGGAGCAGACTCAAGAACAAAAATGAGAGCAACCAAGGATAATTTACTAAAATTCACCTTAAAAAGATTGAATCTGCCATCTTGCATCTCTGCACCTGGTGTAACTTCCATAGTACAGTCTTCGGCCTAAGTTAAATAACATATTCCCCATTAAGATACCACACAATTTTTACTTGTAGGCCATATAAGACAAACTAGCTATGGCTAGTCTGTGATTTGAAACTAAGAAAATAAGATAATCATTAATATGAAACTCTAAAAGGAAATGAAGAGAACAAAACAAACACGGTAAAGAGAATGCAAATTTTAAACTACAACTTTATAGGGAAAAATGACTTATTTGAGGTATACAAATAGGATGGTAGAAAAGGCAAGGGAACTCCAGAATGTTTGCTAATTACCGTAATTTTATTTGTAGTAGAAGTAACTGGTATAACTTCAAGTCCCATTCGTATCCTTTTTTGTTTTTCACAGTAAGCTTTCCAGGTATCTTCATTAAACCCGTAATTAAAATAATCAGAAAGATCAGCACCTACAGATAAAACATATTTTTAATGTGCAAATATTTCAACTCTACAGCATAAAAAATATGATGAACCATAAAAATACAATTTTCTAATTCTATCAGTCTCACCATTCCTTCTAATTTTACTACTTTTCAAAATTAACCAACACAAAAGACTATGAAACATTTTCATCAAAATATGTAACAAATAATGTCCAAGTCTATATTCAAAGGAATATCAGGCAACTAGCAAGATTTAATCATGTTAAGTCCTTAGTATGCATCAATTGCTTAAGGCAAACAAACAAACAAAAAAAATGACAATGAACAACCAATATTCTAAACTGATGGTCAAAATTACTCTTCTGATGACACGAATACATTTTTGAAATTAATATAATCCGCAATAATCTTACCAGGTTTACGCCATGGTTTATCTTCAAAAGAATCCAAATCTACCTCCAACAGTGGAACTCCATTAATGCTTCCAGGTGCATCAAGGTCTACACCTTTGACTTTTGTTCCTATTGTATAGAAATATACAATGGTAAAGAGGCTACATAAGCAAAAACTAGAACATACAAGAGCAAACATTAACATGGTTTTGCCATTCTTACCACAATCAATGGCAAGGATTCAATAAAGGGCATGTTATTTTTTTACCACAGGGAAAAGTGGGTTAAGACAAACTTTACGGTTTAACTATAACATAAACCAGATAGAGAGATTAGGGACTTATTGTTTATAAATAAGGGATTACTGTCCCAGTAAGAAATTGCTAACTTTTATGTTTTAAATCACTGTTTGGTACAGTATGTGACTGAAGAAAGACAAACTTTTGAAAATTATAAAAGAACAACAATAATAATACTAATAAAGAACTATGTAGCCAGCACAGCTTAAGTTATTGATTTTCTGGCCCTTTATATAAAGTCTGTTTATGTCTGTGACATTTGGTCAAACATCATTATTCATTCCAAGAGCTATTACAATCTGCTTATGACCTATTCAAGACATGTGCCTTTTTTTCCTATTGATGAAGTATAAATTTTACCTGTAGTTCCATAAACTCTTCCCCCTGTCTTGATGTTAAGGTTTACAGGTGCTGTACCGTAACTCCTAAAACAAGTAAGAATTATCTGATAATCACAAAAGTACACAACACAGTAATATACACGATGCGTTACACCCCCACACAGATTCATTTATAGGAGTGGAGCTACATTTGGCTACAGAGCTATAAATGGAGAGACTGACAGGCTCACATTTTAGAAAGTGTCTTAAACTAATTTTAAAAGTCTGTTACTTGCTCAATTAAAAAAATGTTTTAAAAAAATCTGACATGTTTCCATCTCAGAACTCTCCCTGCCACTATCTCAATATCCCACAATAGCAAACTTCACAGGAAATTTGGCTAGGAAAGAAATAATAGTTTACATACCTCTATTTCCTTATCTCCTAGTTCTTCAGCATACAGCAATGCTCCAAAAGTGACTTCTCTACCTTGTTACAAAATTAATTCAGTGGTCTCATCCCCACATTTTATGTTACTGATATAACCTCTTTTAAATATCCATGGAGTATTTTGTTCACAAAAATGGATTCATTTATGTGAAATTAAAAATAATCCTGGGATAAAAGTAGAGTAAGTACGTGCTGGTGGTAGGTGGTCAATTATTAGGGGAACAGAGGAGAAACTTCTAGAATGTAGTGTTTCTTGATCTGAATTTTGGTTCCATGAATGTATACATTTGAAAAATTACTGTGTTGTACCTTTTAATGTGGGATAGAAAAGAAATTACGAAGTTTGACAAACCTATGTTCAAATCCAAGTTTTGTCAACAATTAGTTGTATAACCTTGGCCAAGAAACTTAAACCCCATCTGTCTGCTTTGTGTAAATTTTCTGTAAGGTATTTATAGATGGTTTTCTACTTTTTTTCAAGCATCCCTGTTTTAAGTAGAAAAATCAAACATTCTAACTAAAACAAATACGCTTACACACGAGGATAGCAGGAACTGGATGAAGGCATGACTCATGAACAAATGTATTACTAAGACCTAAAGTCACAGACAAATGGTCAGCAATATATTTCTCACAATTTATGCATGTTATTTAATTTGGTTCTTTTTCCTTCACAGGTTTAGACAACTGGACTTACTATGATTCACTGCATTGGTTTCCCTAATAATAATTTGTGTTTCAATCTCTAATTTACTAAATTTATGGGACTTAAGTTTAAGTTACATTATTACTACCATTTTTGTGTTTTACTTTTGTTGGTTTTTTAAGACAAGGTCTTGCTACGTAGTTCAAGCTGGCCTTGAACTCACTTTGTAGCCCAGGTTGGCCTCAGACTCATGGATCCTCCTGCCTCAGCCTCCCAAAGCACTGGGACTACAGGTGTGCACCACTACACCTGGCTCTTGTCTTACTTTTTTAAAAAAGGACAAATGCAATAAAATATATAAATGTAGTTCCACTGCTATAAATGTGTAGTGTGACATACATAAATTCTAGTTTGAAAGTTTACAGTACAGCAAAATCAAGGACAATCTTGAAACTGTCCTCTTGTAGAACTGCTACAGGAAAAAAAAATCAAACTTTGAGTCTGAGCCACAAATGTTTGCTAAATGAGCTTCTTTGCATCCTACACCCTACTCGGCTATCTTTCACTGCCTCTTCTGTCGTTTAAAACATCACTTTTTTTAAAGCCCCCATGCCTTTTTATTCTCTCTGTGCACAGAAGCATTGCTGTACAGAAAATCACCCTTAAGAAAATCTGATACACTGTCCAATAGACCACTGTCCTCCATAAAGTCTCAGGCTCCTCCAAGAGCCAGACATACTTGGGTTTTCTAAAAGAACTTGAAAACAAATGTGTCCACTTAAACTGACATTTAAGTGTGTTAAATCTATTTTAACTTGTTCCTCCCATATGTATTGAACTACTACTCAGGAGACCCTTCAGTTATTGAGTCCTTAAGCTCCTTCTCATCCACAACTAACCAGCTGATCATGCCGCTGCTTCTACCTACTACTCACCCAAGTACACCTTCGTATCCACCCAGCCCTACACCACCTCCGCTACATGAACTGTCACCTCACCTGACCAACTATGAATCTTAGCTCTTTTCTCTCCATCGAACCCATCCCAACTACCGCTACAAATTCATCTTTCCACATAACCTAATCTGCCTAAAAAATCCTTTAAACATTCTACAAAGACATAACAAAAACATTGTAATTTATTCCTTACGGGACTTCATCCATCCCTTTTCATCTACCTCTCACTCCAGTTACGCAGCTGCTCCAAAGCATCTTCCACCATGACTATGCAGTTAAGCAGCTCCCTTTCTCTAAACTCATCAGTTCTCTGCCTGTCTCATGACTCACTCAAGCACGCTGGAATGCCACCTCTGGAACTCCAACACTCATAGGCCTTTAGTAACTATCAAAGTTTTTAAGTCACTCTATACACTTTTATCACTAATGCTACACTGACAGTGTCTCCCAATTACCTATTTTCCTATTTCTGAAAAATAAGGGCATTTTACCATTTCTTTTCTATCCCATCATCAATTAATAAACTCCAAAATAAAAACCTGCTGTTTCTATGCAACCCCTACTAAGTTAGTTAACTTTATCATTAAGCCAAGTATTTTCACAGTGAAATTTTTTTTTTTTTGGTTTTTCGGTTTTTCTCCGGTACCGGGAACCGAACTCACGACCTTGCGCTTGCCAGGCAGGCGCTTTTGCCGCTGAGCTAAATCCCCAGCCCCACAGTGAAATTTTAAAAGGTTCTTTTTGTATCAACGGTTAAGATGGAAAAATATAAAAACAATGGAAATAGTCATTTACTGTTTGACTGGGCCAGATAAATTATATGCCTGAAAATGTTTACTAAAAATTTTAAGGTAAGCGGACTTATTACATTAAAAAAATGGGAAAAAAGTATTTGTAAATGATTAGATGAATCTCAGCAATAACAAGCTTCCTTATATAAATTATTCCTACTTTGATCTGCTTTTCTTTATACCTAATTGATAGATAAAATGAACTTGAACAAAAGCATTGTTTCCTAAAAAATGCTATTTTTCATTTTCTAACAACTTATAATATCTAGTACTCTTTCAACACATTTTGCTGTCTAAATTATAAATCAGCCTCCAGCCAGGCATGGTGGCACAAGCCTGAAGTCACAGCAGCCACAGGCTAAGGCAGGAGGATCACTGCAGGTTTCAGGCCAGTCGCTGTTACAGTGAGTTCAAGGCCAGCCTGAACTATACAGTGAAACCTTGTTGTAAAAATAAATACATAAGCCTCTAAAAATACTGTGCACAAAGTAAATATTTTACCGATTTTTTTTTTGCTGGCTTTCTTTTGGTTTTCAAGGGATCTATAAGAAAAATTACACTTTGCTTTAAATAGTCCTATACTTACAAATACAAACAACTTGATTTAACAAAAATCTCCTGAATATGCAATGATTATCGTAATGCAGATGATAAAGGCCTACTAGTACAAAGACCTGTGAGTATTATACTATAAAATCCAACACTAATTAGTTACTTTCCCAAGTGGGGATGGAAAGTACATTAAGACTTTCTACCCCTGCCGGGCATGGTGGTGCACGCCTGTAATCCCAGCACTCGGGAGGCTGAGGCAGGAGGATCGTTGTGAGTTTGAGACCAGCCTGGGCTACAAAGTGAGATTAAGGCCAGCCTGAACTGCATAGCGAGACCCTGTCTCAAAAAGATAAAAAA